ATTTTATTTGACTCTACTTCGTCAGCATCCAAAAAGCCAGATTCGCGCATGCGCTTTACAGAGCACCAACCTCACTCGGTTTAGTTGGTGGAAGCCTAGAGCCTTGGGTGAATGCTACACGTATACTGAACCCAATTCTATCCAGGACCGGTTCTGGGCTGTTAGCCACCTAGCCACTAGGTATTTGGCCGCCCTCGCCGATTATGTGAATCACAAGTAGATTTATAACTTAACCCAACTGATAAGAATTTACTGGTATATTTTTATGATAGTTCTGTATAGTTGACAGCAGTCAAAAAAAATTTATTAAAATATTTGATATTTTTATTCCGCTATCCAATTTTATATCACTCATGGATTTCAATGTTAAACCAGTGAATTACAATTTTGTATATCCCATCTTTAAGTGGATGTAGAAAAAACGTGAACAATTCTTGTATAATGTTAAAAAGTTAACTGTTACTTTGACAGCATCATTTACAACTAAATTAATGAATAAGAGAGATGCATGAGGTACAGAAAAAGCTCTAGAATTTATTTTCCTTACATTTACGATTTATGTATCCATTTGTCATAAAAATTAGTCTTTCCACTTTTTTCCCCAAGACTAGAAATATTCGAGTACAAAGTAACTGGTTTCGACTTATTTCTACTTAAGAAGTAGTTAAATAATTAAGTGATTAGGGAATTGGGGACATAAACAAAATCCTGTTGAAAGAGCTGAAATTTTACTTAAACAAAGGCTTAACTGAACCATCTCTAGCTGAGTACAGTGGTGACTGATTTCTTCGTAATATTATATGTAATAAAGACAGAATTTTTCCAGTTCAATGAGAGTGACCAAAAACTTGTAAATTTTGGAAATTTCTGAAGACACTTGGTCCTAAAACGAATTAGTTAGAAAACAAACGACTGTTAAGTTTAACATATTTAGATTTTTACAGCTATGGTGAGAAACGTTTAAAATCTACAACAGCCCTGTCATGTTCTTTGAGATATACTAGTGATGTGACAAAAGAGGTATTTGACATTGATCGGTATCAGCACCCTGGGGATTTGACAGTCCGCGTGTATGCACGCTCTGCAATCGTCTTTGATTCCATTCATTAGCCACTGGTAGGGAGCTATTTGACTAAGTGGATTGTTTTAAGATTTAAAAAGTAAAGAATATTTTATGTTATTTTTATGTACGTTTCTCTACAAAGCTATATTTAATTATAATTTTCTTTAAAAGTATATTCATACAATTGAAGAATATTTTGTACCAGGTATGTACTGTACCGGTACATCCACCACACATTTTATTTCACCAAGTAAGTTTTTTTATTTTATTTTTAATTGTAGCCCTTATATCGTGGCTAGCGATTTGGAATGTAATTGTGATATTAAAAATATATATAGAAAAGTCTACGGTTTTTACTGGCTTATTGAATAAAAAATATGAATGGACCCTAGACCAGGGGTGGCCAACAGTTTTTGTCCCTGGGCCAGATTGGAAAGAAATTATGGCCCAAACCAGAGGCTGCCCTAGCAAGATTTTGAGGTGGTGTGAGATCTCATTGTTGTGTCACTCTGTAGAGACTAAATTGTACATAGAGATTACAGATACATTTTTCACATTATCATGCATTATCAACATTCTACGCTGTGCTGAAGACATTTGTAATGGAGCGTTAGCTCTAATCGCACAGTTACTTGTTTTTTTTTTTTTAGTCATTGGAGTTTTTCATCAAGATATTCAGACTTAAGTAGCTAATATTGAAAGATTAATTGCGGCCACATAAATTCATTAGATGGGCAGGATCCGGCCCGTGGGCCATATGTTAGTCATGCCTGCCCTAGATCATCACTGATGTGCAATTGACTGATTGCCCCTGGATGTCGGCTTATTACAGAAACACAGCTTCCCTATCATCAAATGTCATGGCACGCCACTGAATTCTATAGTTCTTTCCTAATAGCATGAAAAGTTTTAGATAATTTTATTAAAATGCAATTTTTTTAGTTCTTTTAGTTTAAAATTTTGATTATCTTTTATTTTAAGAAATTTAATTATTATTTCATATAATCTTTCCACGTGAGAAGACATTTTTCTTTTATTTTAATTCTGAATTATTATGCATTATTATATTTTTATGATAATATATATTTGATCACAAAAACTGTTATAATATAGTAAACTCAAAGCAATTTAACAGATAAGATCATATTTAATATTACAGTTTTTTAATTTTATAATAACACTAATAGTATATACAAGTCTCCAATTTAATTAATTTCAAAAGTACAGGATGCTGAATTAATTATAACTACAGATTACTTTATGTAGTTAATTTACTACGTAATTTTACAATATTACATGTAATATTACATATTAATTGCATTTTTTTCTTCAATGTAGCACTGCATATTTTGCCAGAAAATAATTGGGCTCTTCATGAAATGAATGTATATATTATCACAGTTAAACTTTTTGATATTTATCATCATCAGATTTCCTTATCAGATGTAAGAAGTTAATAAATATATTCTTTAAAAATATTTATAATGTATGTGTACATAATTTGTAAAAAAATATAATGCATTATTTGCTTTTAATTTTTAGAATGTTTATACTTATGTGCAATTTCCATCTAAAAGTTTTCATGTGAATTATTCATCTCCAAATGGTACATATCATGTGGTTCAAGCTACAGTTGCTGGATCTGGTTTTATTAATGCTTATTTAGTTGGAGTTAAAAATGAAGTAAGTATAAGCAATGAAGATATTTTCATTAAAATAAACCAAAAATTTGTCTAAAATACATACTTCTTGCATTTTGAAAGAAATGTTCTGTTTAAATATAAGAATATAATATTAAGATTTTTATAATTAATGTTTATTATAATATAATTTATTTTTCAGAATGGAGAAAAGGTTAAATTTCAGCCAGAAATACGGACTTCTCAACAATATATTATTTACCAAAGTTTGCAAATTTTTCCGTCTGTGTTACTTTTGCCTTGGGAGTCTTCAATTGAGATTAATCACACAGTTTCTTTTAAAGTAGGAATCTGCATTTTTTTCCTCAATATAAAATTTTTGTTATAATTTCTAATATAACTGATATATCAAAATGTAAAATTTGGTTAAAGTATGTGGAAATCATTACGTAATCACATTACATAATCATTACATATTTTGTTAGTGGTAACTTAATTAATCTGAACAGTAGATAAAATGTTATTTAATAAAATCTGAATTCTGGATAATGTAAGATTATAACTATTTTTTGCTAATTCAGACATAGAAAAAAAATAGGTATTGTTTTTGTAGTTAATATCATTTGCAGTTGTCTCACAGCAGTAGAAATATTTCAAATTATTTTAATTTTTATAGTGAAATAATTTAAATAAGAAAATTCTGCAATCTTTTGTTATTTATCAAGGAAAGTATATTGTAATTTTTAGCAATTTTCATATATTAATTTCTTAACACTAAATTACAGTACAAAGAATAAACAAATAATAAAAATGATAAACTAATTCCATAGTTAAACTAGTTTTACTATGAATATTAGAATGTCCCTAACATTTCAAAAACATTAATATTAAACATTTTATCTTCAGAAGCATCTGAGTTTTCATATTTATAATTGTGATGTTTTTTGAAAATGAAATGTTAAAAATTTAATAGATAATTCAATCGATACAGTCAACAAAATAAAAAAAATCTTATACAAAAATTTATGGAAAAATAATACAAATATTTTTATTTTATTATTTTAAGATTTTTCAGGTACAAGTTCTAATATATCACCACTGATATAGAATTTACTTCAATTTATTCCTAAAGAAATAGTATTCAAAACAATGTTAATAAATGGATAACCATTTTATTCTTTTGAATTTTTTAAAAATTGTTTTATTTAAAATAATTGTATTATTTTTTTCTTTATAGGTTTTAGGAGGTAGTGGGTTTTATAAATGGTCTTCCACAGATACTGATATTGGAAGCATTAGCTATTCATCTGGTAAAAAAAGTAATATTGCTACTGTAGTCATAAGAAAGATAGGAGAAATTAATATTACTGTGGCTGATGCACAAAATGAATTTCTCCACAATATGGCTAAAGTAAGTGAAGTTTTATATAAACATTTTTCTAATTTAATTTGTATGATTTAACAACTTTCAAAGATCACTTTTATGAAATTTATTGATTATTTTAAAGATGGTTAATTTAATAATGAGTTATATAAAAACAGCTTCATATAAATCTCAGTATTTGATTGTTTTTAATGATTTTGTTTAAATACTATTTTATCAGCTAATTAACTTAATTATTTGATTGGACATGGTGGTAATCATCATTGCTGCTGTTTATGAATGAAATCCATGAAATGCTACTCTAAAGGCCTCTTCCTGCTTCTATTTTTTGAGGATTTAGTTTAATTACTTAATTATTTTAGATTTTATCATTATGACATCTTTAATCTTTTAATTATGAAAACATGAAATACAATATGGAATGAATAATAACTTAAACACAAGATAAAAATATCAGGTAATCATAATAATACATATTGGTATCATTGATTTTTCAAATATTTTATATTAGATATCTGTTCAACCCATTGCTGATCTTGAAATTATGCCAACAATATTGGAAACACAAGTAAATAATGATGTGATTGTACCAGTTTCTTTGTATGGCTATGAAGATGAAGGTGAGATCTTTTAAAAATATTTTAGCTGAGCAGTTTAAGAAATAATTATATCATAATGTGAACAAATTATAACTAACATAATGTGAACAAAAAATAACTAAACATTTAAAATTATAATTTATTTCTCCAGTTCAATCTTAAATCTACAGATTTTGTTAAAGCATGTATTTATTTTAACAAAATTTAATATAAATTTGTTTTCTTTACTTTATTTTTAATTAAAATGATTTTAAATTGCAGTTTAATTGGAGTTGAAATGTAGTGTGATTAATCAGTTTTTAAAAAAATTTCATTTAAATAGCCAAAACAAAATTTAAAGTATTTGATGAATGTTCAAAAATACCACTAAATGTTGAAGTTGTAGATAAAGCAAGATTCACTTATGTGAAAGGTGAGTGAATGTATGTAATTTAATTATAATATATATAGTCATCTTATAGTAATTTTAATTTATTTTTCAAACTTTTTTAAAAATGAAAATATTTTAAATTGAAACAATAAAAATTAATATGCAAAATCATATTTTATTATATATATATATATATACACACAAAGAAATGTTTGTAATGCCCTTGGATCTAATAAACTACTGTACAGATCTTTATGATTCACACATTGTTACAAACCATATGATTTAGGTTTCCTGCCTCAATACTTACTTTTATCAATTCTTTCTAAAAAAAAATAACATTCACTTCTCTTGCTCTCCACTAGAGAAAACACCATAAACTTTAATTACTCTTTGTCTTTTCACAGCAATATATTGTTAGAAACTTTACAATTTACTTTTCATGCCAATTTGAATGATGTTTTTATTAATTAATTCATAGCTATAATAAAAATATCATTATAAATCTTTTATATTTAATTTTATCAAGTTCTGGAAATGATTTTACAGCATTGACACTTTTTACATTGAATGGTTAATTTGGAAACATATGTGTGTTCTTCAACATAAAATCATTCATTTTTTTTTATCTAACAACAAAAATTAGTGAGTATTTTTAAATTAAATATCAATCCCATTATGACAGCATTGCCTGGGAGCAATCATTGACTATTGACACTGAACAAAAAAAAATAAAATAATAAAACAACATAAAGCAAAGGGATAAAACCACCAAACATTGATAGTTAGTCATAAGTTTACACCTGAACAACAGGTTGGCCACATGAACTTTTCTGGGTTTTCTTCACGTGTCTAACATCTAAATAGCAGCCAGTTCTAGAAAGTCATATCATGAGGCACTCCCCCTGGCAGATTAGGAAATATAAACATTTATATCCAAACATACAAAACTTTTATTCTTTTATATATATTGTACAGTACCTTGATATACATATGAAAGAATAGGAAATCAGAATCATAAGAAATATTTAACTTGATGCTTAATTAGCTTGTTGATTAACCAGCTAAATATTTCTTCTGGCCAGTTAAAAATATTTTTTATTTTATTCTATTTATTATCATTATTATTTTTTTAAAATAACGACTACAGATTAGTATTTTATTGAATTCTATAGTACAGGTATACCTCGCTTTACGTCGGTAATTGGTTCCAGCAGAACGACTTAAGTCGAAAAACGACGTAAGTCGAATTTACTTGTCTCCGAATCTAATTGCCACTAGGCTAAACCATAAATTACCAATTCCCGTTCTGTATTTTATTTATTAATGCATTTTTAATAATATATGGTTAATAAGGATCTATTTTAAGCTTATGTGAGAATACAGACGAGGGTCCAGGCCCTCTAATCGTCAGATCTGTTAGACCTGCTCACTTTGTCACTGGATGGCTTAATTTTTAATCCGAACCCGAGTGGTAAGATTCTGTGTGGGTTTGTGCATAAGAACAAATACCAGACTACGCAGGTTATATAATATAAAATCAACAATTTAATTATAGCAGAACAAAATAACAAATACAAATAATAGTACAACAAAACATAAAACATCTGTCTAACTTAAGACTAGAGAGGTTCTTCTTATATAGATGATAATTTGATTAGAATTAACAATAATACTAGCAAATAACATCTTACATAATTTTAACATAAAATCTGTGTGGTTGTAGCTACTTTAAATCTGATTGCCTGATTTTTCATTATTTTATGTATCTATTTTTGTTTACTCTTGTGAACAGTATACAATATTGTTATATAATACAGTAGAGCGTCGTTTATCCGAACCAATTGGGGACTGGGATTGTTCGGATAACTTATTTTTACCAATTATGTACGAAAACATATATTAACCTATCCCATCCTGAAATTGTTCTCCGTTGCATGTCGCTTTGCATTGAATTTTCGTCGATGTTAAGCTTAATGTAAACTTTTTAAAATAATAACCATGGCTATTGTATCATTAAAAATTATTTCTTTATTTTGTACAAACAAAATAAATTTATTNTAAGGGTATTTGGGCAATTTATTTTCTGTTGTATTCTCAAGTAAACAATACACACAAGTACAGTACAGTATTTTCTGAGGAAACACTCGTACTTATTTTTTTAATCCCATTCCCGATAACCCGGAATTTTCACAAACTCGGCCACCCTTCGGTCCACATTAGGCCGAGTTTTCGAGGCTCTACTGTATTTGATTATTTAACCAAATTTTTTGCACCAAACAACTGAGTTCTATTCATCAATATCTCTAATATTATGTATACCTTTTTATACATTGTTCACCCAAATGATTGCTTTAAACATTCAGGCTATAAATCTGCTATTATTAATGATCAGATACTAAGTAATTTAATACTAGAGGTAGATGTTAAGTGCCATCACTTATCTAAATTAATAATTATAATTTTAATAATTTATTAAATAATTTAGAACCATCTCGAAGAAAAGAACTAGCCTGGAATACCGGCTTGAACCCACAACCTCCACGTATCATGTAGTGTGCTTGCCAATTACACCATCCAGTTCCACCATCTAAATTTTAATGCCAGTTATATCTAAATTTAAAATGCTTCATTTTCTCAAATTGCCTTTCATTTGATGTTTCTTTTTGATTTTGGAAAGCAAGAAATAATCTGTAAAGTACAAATCAAAGAATAAAAAAGATAGTTTAATTCTTAATCTTACAGTTCACTAGAACTTTTTAATTATTATTATAGAATAAGGTTATATAGTATCATGCAACAGGAATTAGCTCAATTTTTTCTAAAAATAATATAACATCTTATTATAATCAAATAGTCTTTTAACTAAATAATGTGAAATTTATGCATAATATTCTTTATTCACTATATGAACAAATAGCAGATCAAATTTCTTGCAAATAGTTAATTTTCTTTCAGTAAACATTATCAATATCACTTAGGTTTTTGATTAAACCAAACCATTATTGTTAATTACAGCGATCATTTGGTTTAGTTTCAATGCATTGGGCTTTGGAATGCTTATTGTATTTAGGTTTTTGAGTATTTATAATAAGAAATAAAGCATTGTAATCATCAAATCATTAAAAGCATAGTATTTTAGTCTGATTTTAATACTTTGCTTTTAACGATTTGTTGATTACAATGCTTTATTTCCTATTATAAATACTCAAAAATCTTTGTTTATTCATTGTATAATGTTAGTCATTTCATATATTAGTTAAAATTTATTTATCACTTATTTTAAAGTTTATTTTCTGATTTCATTGAATTTTATCGTATTTTAGTCACAAAATTTTGTAGTTCTGTGAATTCTATCAGTGACGTGCCGTCATTGGAAGCGGTGGATGTGCCGCTTCCCTTGTATTTCTAAAAAATAAATACATATTAATTTTAATTATATGAAAATACTTGCACAATATTTTATTATAACCACATTATGTATCTTATTACAAATTTCTATACTACATATGAAAAAAATATAAGATTGCTATTGTATATTCGAATATTAGTGGCAGAGTGGAAGCGCTTCATTGTCAGCATCCAAAAAGCCAGATTCGCGCATGCGCTTTACAGAGCACCAACCTCACTCGGTTTAGTTGGTGGAAGCCTAGAGCCTTGGGTGAATGCTACACGTATACTGAACCCAATTCTATCCAGGACCGGTTCTGGGCTGTTAGCCACCTAGCCACTAGGTATTTGGCCGCCCTCGCCGATTATGTGAATCACAAGTAGATTTATAACTTAACCCAACTGATAAGAATTTACTGGTATATTTTTATGATAGTTCTGTATAGTTGACAGCAGTCAAAAAAAATTTATTAAAATATTTGATATTTTTATTCCGCTATCCAATTTTATATCACTCATGGATTTCAATGTTAAACCAGTGAATTACAATTTTGTATATCCCATCTTTAAGTGGATGTAGAAAAAACGTGAACAATTCTTGTATAATGTTAAAAAGTTAACTGTTACTTTGACAGCATCATTTACAACTAAATTAATGAATAAGAGAGATGCATGAGGTACAGAAAAAGCTCTAGAATTTATTTTCCTTACATTTACGATTTATGTATCCATTTGTCATAAAAATTAGTCTTTCCACTTTTTTCCCCAAGACTAGAAATATTCGAGTACAAAGTAACTGGTTTCGACTTATTTCTACTTAAGAAGTAGTTAAATAATTAAGTGATTAGGGAATTGGGGACATAAACAAAATCCTGTTGAAAGAGCTGAAATTTTACTTAAACAAAGGCTTAACTGAACCATCTCTAGCTGAGTACAGTGGTGACTGATTTCTTCGTAATATTATATGTAATAAAGACAGAATTTTTCCAGTTCAATGAGAGTGACCGAAAAGTTGTAAATTTTGGAAATTTCTGAAGACACTTGGTCCTAAAACGAATTAGTTAGAAAACAAACGACTGTTAAGTTTAACATATTTAGATTTTTACAGCTATGGTGAGAAACGTTTAAAATCTACAACAGCCCTGTCATGTTCTTTGAGATATACTAGTGATGTGACAAAAGAGGTATTTGACATTGATCGGTATCAGCACCCTGGGGATTTGACAGTCCGCGTGTATGCACGCTCTGCAATCGTCTTTGATTCCATTCATTAGCCACTGGTAGGGAGCTATTTGACTAAGTGGATTGTTTTAAGATTTAAAAAGTAAAGAATATTTTATGTTATTTTTATGTACGTTTCTCTACAAAGCTATATTTAATTATAATTTTCTTTAAAAGTATATTCATACAATTGAAGAATATTTTGTACCAGGTATGTACTGTACCGGTACATCCACCACACATTTTATTTCACCAAGTAAGTTTTTTTATTTTATTTTTAATTGTAGCCCTTATATCGTGGCTAGCGATTTGGAATGTAATTGTGATATTAAAAATATATATAGAAAAGTCTACGGTTTTTACTGGCTTATTGAATAAAAAATATGAATGGACCCTAGACCAGGGGTGGCCAACAGTTTTTGTCCCTGGGCCAGATTGGAAAGAAATTATGGCCCAAACCAGAGGCTGCCCTAGCAAGATTTTGAGGTGGTGTGAGATCTCATTGTTGTGTCACTCTGTAGAGACTAAATTGTACATAGAGATTACAGATACATTTTTCACATTATCATGCATTATCAACATTCTACGCTGTGCTGAAGACATTTGTAATGGAGCGTTAGCTCTAATCGCACAGTTACTTGTTTTTTTTTTTTTAGTCATTGGAGTTTTTCATCAAGATATTCAGACTTAAGTAGCTAATATTGAAAGATTAATTGCGGCCACATAAATTCATTAGATGGGCAGGATCCGGCCCGTGGGCCATATGTTAGTCATGCCTGCCCTAGATCATCACTGATGTGCAATTGACTGATTGCCCCTGGATGTCGGCTTATTACAGAAACACAGCTTCCCTATCATCAAATGTCATGGCACGCCACTGAATTCTATAGTTCTTTCCTAATAGCATGAAAAGTTTTAGATAATTTTATTAAAATGCAATTTTTTTAGTTCTTTTAGTTTAAAATTTTGATTATCTTTTATTTTAAGAAATTTAATTATTATTTCATATAATCTTTCCATGTGAGAAGACATTTTTCTTTTATTTTAATTCTGAATTATTATGCATTATTATATTTTTATGATAATATATATTTGATCACAAAAACTGTTATAATATAGTAAACTCAAAGCAATTTAACAGATAAGATCATATTTAATATTACAGTTTTTTAATTTTATAATAACACTAATAGTATATACAAGTCTCCAATTTAATTAATTTCAAAAGTACAGGATGCTGAATTAATTATAACTACAGATTACTTTATGTAGTTAATTTACTACGTAATTTTACAATATTACATGTAATATTACATATTAATTGCATTTTTTTCTTCAATGTAGCACTGCATATTTTGCCAGAAAATAATTGGGCTCTTCATGAAATGAATGTATATATTATCACAGTTAAACTTTTTGATATTTATCATCATCAGATTTCCTTATCAGATGTAAGAAGTTAATAAATATATTCTTTAAAAATATTTATAATGTATGTGTACATAATTTGTAAAAAAATATAATGCATTATTTGCTTTTAATTTTTAGAATGTTTATACTTATGTGCAATTTCCATCTAAAAGTTTTCATGTGAATTATTCATCTCCAAATGGTACATATCATGTGGTTCAAGCTACAGTTGCTGGATCTGGTTTTATTAATGCTTATTTAGTTGGAGTTAAAAATGAAGTAAGTATAAGCAATGAAGATATTTTCATTAAAATAAACCAAAAATTTGTCTAAAATACATACTTCTTGCATTTTGAAAGAAATGTTCTGTTTAAATATAAGAATATAATATTAAGATTTTTATAATTAATGTTTATTATAATATAATTTATTTTTCAGAATGGAGAAAAGGTTAAATTTCAGCCAGAAATACGGACTTCTCAACAATATATTATTTACCAAAGTTTGCAAATTTTTCCGTCTGTGTTACTTTTGCCTTGGGAGTCTTCAATTGAGATTAATCACACAGTTTCTTTTAAAGTAGGAATCTGCATTTTTTTCCTCAATATAAAATTTTTGTTATAATTTCTAATATAACTGATATATCAAAATGTAAAATTTGGTTAAAGTATGTGGAAATCATTACGTAATCACATTACATAATCATTACATATTTTGTTAGTGGTAACTTAATTAATCTGAACAGTAGATAAAATGTTATTTAATAAAATCTGAATTCTGGATAATGTAAGATTATAACTATTTTTTGCTAATTCAGACATAGAAAAAAAATAGGTATTGTTTTTGTAGTTAATATCATTTGCAGTTGTCTCACAGCAGTAGAAATATTTCAAATTATTTTAATTTTTATAGTGAAATAATTTAAATAAGAAAATTCTGCAATCTTTTGTTATTTATCAAGGAAAGTATATTGTAATTTTTAGCAATTTTCATATATTAATTTCTTAACACTAAATTACAGTACAAAGAATAAACAAATAATAAAAATGATAAACTAATTCCATAGTTAAACTAGTTTTACTATGAATATTAGAATGTCCCTAACATTTCAAAAACATTAATATTAAACATTTTATCTTCAGAAGCATCTGAGTTTTCATATTTATAATTGTGATGTTTTTTGAAAATGAAATGTTAAAAATTTAATAGATAATTCAATCGATACAGTCAACAAAATAAAAAAAATCTTATACAAAAATTTATGGAAAAATAATACAAATATTTTTATTTTATTATTTTAAGATTTTTCAGGTACAAGTTCTAATATATCACCACTGATATAGAATTTACTTCAATTTATTCCTAAAGAAATAGTATTCAAAACAATGTTAATAAATGGATAACCATTTTATTCTTTTGAATTTTTTAAAAATTGTTTTATTTAAAATAATTGTATTATTTTTTTCTTTATAGGTTTTAGGAGGTAGTGGGTTTTATAAATGGTCTTCCACAGATACTGATATTGGAAGCATTAGCTATTCATCTGGTAAAAAAAGTAATATTGCTACTGTAGTCATAAGAAAGATAGGAGAAATTAATATTACTGTGGCTGATGCACAAAATGAATTTCTCCACAATATGGCTAAAGTAAGTGAAGTTTTATATAAACATTTTTCTAATTTAATTTGTATGATTTAACAACTTTCAAAGATCACTTTTATGAAATTTATTGATTATTTTAAAGATGGTTAATTTAATAATGAGTTATATAAAAACAGCTTCATATAAATCTCAGTATTTGATTGTTTTTAATGATTTTGTTTAAATACTATTTTATCAGCTAATTAACTTAATTATTTGATTGGACATGGTGGTAATCATCATTGCTGCTGTTTATGAATGAAATCCATGAAATGCTACTCTAAAGGCCTCTTCCTGCTTCTATTTTTTGAGGATTTAGTTTAATTACTTAATTATTTTAGATTTTATCATTATGACATCTTTAATCTTTTAATTATGAAAACATGAAATACAATATGGAATGAATAATAACTTAAACACAAGATAAAAATATCAGGTAATCATAATAATACATATTGGTATCATTGATTTTTCAAATATTTTATATTAGATATCTGTTCAACCCATTGCTGATCTTGAAATTATGCCAACAATATTGGAAACACAAGTAAATAATGATGTGATTGTACCAGTTTCTTTGTATGGCTATGAAGATGAAGGTGAGATCTTTTAAAAATATTTTAGCTGAGCAGTTTAAGAAATAATTATATCATAATGTGAACAAATTATAACTAACATAATGTGAACAAAAAATAACTAAACATTTAAAATTATAATTTATTTCTCCAGTTCAATCTTAAATCTACAGATTTTGTTAAAGCATGTATTTATTTTAACAAAATTTAATATAAATTTGTTTTCTTTACTTTATTTTTAATTAAAATGATTTTAAATTGCAGTTTAATTGGAGTTGAAATGTAGTGTGATTAATCAGTTTTTAAAAAAATTTCATTTAAATAGCCAAAACAAAATTTAAAGTATTTGATGAATGTTCAAAAATACCACTAAATGTTGAAGTTGTAGATAAAGCAAGATTCACTTATGTGAAAGGTGAGTGAATGTATGTAATTTAATTATAATATATATAGTCATCTTATAGTAATTTTAATTTATTTTTCAAACTTTTTTAAAAATGAAAATATTTTAAATTGAAACAATAAAAATTAATATGCAAAATCATATTTTATTATATATATATATATATACACACAAAGAAATGTTTGTAATGCCCTTGGATCTAATAAACTACTGTACAGATCTTTATGATTCACACATTGTTACAAACCATATGATTTAGGTTTCCTGCCTCAATACTTACTTTTATCAATTCTTTCTAAAAAAAAATAACATTCACTTCTCTTGCTCTCCACTAGAGAAAACACCATAAACTTTAATTACTCTTTGTCTTTTCACAGCAATATATTGTTAGAAACTTTACAATTTACTTTTCATGCCAATTTGAATGATGTTTTTATTAATTAATTCATAGCTATAATAAAAATATCATTATAAATCTTTTATATTTAATTTTATCAAGTTCTGGAAATGATTTTACAGCATTGACACTTTTTACATTGAATGGTTAATTTGGAAACATATGTGTGTTCTTCAACATAAAATCATTCATTTTTTTTTATCTAACAACAAAAATTAGTGAGTATTTTTAAATTAAATATCAATCCCATTATGACAGCATTGCCTGGGAGCAATCATTGACTATTGACACTGAACAAAAAAAAATAAAATAATAAAACAACATAAAGCAAAGGGATAAAACCACCAAACATTGATAGTTAGTCATAAGTTTACACCTGAACAACAGGTTGGCCACATGAACTTTTCTGGGTTTTCTTCACGTGTCTAACATCTAAATAGCAGCCAGTTCTAGAAAGTCATATCATGAGGCACTCCCCTGGCAGATTAGGAAATATAAACATTTATATCCAAACATACAAAACTTTTATTCTTTTATATATATTGTACAGTACCTTGATATACATATGAAAGAATAGGAAATCAGAATCATAAGAAATATTTAACTTGATGCTTAATTAGCTTGTTGATTAACCAGCTAAATATTTCTTCTGGCCAGTTAAAAATATTTTTTATTTTATTCTATTTATTATCATTATTATTTTTTTAAAATAACGACTACAGATTAGTATTTTATTGAATTCTATAGTACAGGTATACCTCGCTTTACGTCGGTAATTGGTTCCAGCAGAACGACTTAAGTCGAAAAACGACGTAAGTCGAATTTACTTGTCTTTAATTGCCACTAGGCTAAACCATAAATTACCAATTCCCGTTCTGTATTTTATTTATTAATGCATTTTTAATAATATATGGTTAATAAGGATCTATTTTAAGCTTATGTGAGAATACAGACGAGGGTCCAGGCCCTCTAATCGTCAGATCTGTTAGACCTGCTCACTTTGTCACTGGATGGCTTAATTTTTAATCCGAACCCGAGTGGTAAGATTCTGTGTGGGTTTGTGCATAAGAACAAATACCAGACTACGCAGGTTATATAATATAAAATCAACAATTTAATTATAGCAGAACAAAATAACAAATACAAATAATAGTACAACAAAACATAAAACATCTGTCTAACTTAAGACTAGAGAGGTTCTTCTTATATAGATGATAATTTGATTAGAATTAACAATAATACTAGCAAATAACATCTTACATAATTTTAACATAAAATCTGTGTGGTTGTAGCTACTTTAAATCTGATTGCCTGATTTTTCATTATTTTATGTATCTATTTTTGTTTACTCTTGTGAACAGTATACAATATTGTTATATAATACAGTAGAGCGTCGTTTATCCGAACCAATTGGGGACTGGGATTGTTCGGATAACTTATTTTTACCAATTATGTACGAAAACATATATTAACCTATCCCATCCTGAAATTGTTCTCCGTTGCATGTCGCTTTGCATTGAATTTTCGTCGATGTTAAGCTTAATGTAAACTTTTTAAAATAATAACCATGGCTATTGTATCATTAAAAATTATTTCTTTATTTTGTACAAACAAAATAAATATATTGAAAAATATAAAAACAATAAAAAATTATACTTCAGAACTTAATTTAGTATCAAAAACATAAAATATTTGAGTAGCCCAAGACATAGCCAAAGATTGCAGCACCAGAGCACTAGCGAAAATTTAAATTTGCCAACTGGAATTCTTTCGGATAACTGACTTTCAGATAAATGACGCTCTACTATACTGGTATACAGTAGAACCCCTCTAGTCCGCCCTCGGCTGGTCTGTCACTCCGGTTAATCCGACCATGGTCGGAGTTGAGAAACTTGTCCCGACTCGTCAGTAACTCACCGTCCGTGGCGTTCTTCTGTGTTTGTTACAGTATATGTTTTACATTGTGTGTGTTTTCAACATGCTAGAAGTGAAACGTAAACACGTTACTCTTTCATTAAATGAAAAATTAGCAATGCTACAAAGACTGGACAAAGGGAAGATTGTTTATTTTACTTTTTTCTGATAATCCGACCTTTTTTGCGTTCCAACCATACCCCCAGTCTCAAAGGTGACAGATTAGAGGGGTTCTACTGTATATATATTTCTTTTCAACCTTACCAGCATTTTTTTCTTAACTATGATTTAATTATATATAAATATATACATACATATTAATACAGATTAATTACATATAAATATATATATATATTTATGTATATATTTTTTCCTCATATTTTTGCAGTTCTTATTTTTAATTTTATGTAACATGTTTGTATTGAATACTTTCAAAACCAAAACTTTTGGTAATTAAATTATAGTTAAGAAAAAAATGCTGGTAAGGTTGAAAACCTTACCAGCTTTAACTAGTTAATTGATAAGATTTTTATTTTATAGAAACTTTGAACTATGCTTCAAAAATTTAAATATCAATCTGTCAGTCTCATTCACTATAAATTGAATAATGTTTCTATTCTTTCTATAATGATCTACAAATTTAATATTTAAATTATTTTAAGTTTTTTTTGGTACTGATATAATTATTTCATTTGCTTTAAGTGATAACTCTATTTAGAGAATAATTGATTCATTTTATCGAAATACACAGATACCGAATATGCACCGATAGGGAGAGGATGCCAAAGTCTTCAGTTTGTTTGTAAATTTCCAGGCCATTCTCGTATATTCGTTAATTATGGAAATAAGCTAAATACTACAACCATAATTGGATGTAGCAAACCATTAAAGGTGAATTTAAATTTTGATTAATTAATTGAAATTATTTATTAATTTATATTAGAATAATATCAATCTATTGGCTTAAATTTTATTCTAATAATTTTTATGTTCAATTATATTGCTAGTAGATTATTGAAAAAGAAAACAGTTGTTAATAATAGAAATACAGTAATGATAAAAATGTTTTTATTTTAGTTTTCTACTTGATATCTCATTTGACTCCTTTATTAATCTAAACAAATCTTTTACAGAAGTCCTTTTTAAAAACCTTGATAAATGTTTTGAAAGGTTCTCATTATGAGAACATAGTTACTTGGGACTAATGAATAGGCTTATTATACTCCTAGCATTTAATTAACCTTTCCAAAATACATTTCAGCCTTCCTGGCCCTTAAGGATGAAATGCATTTTGGAGAGGTTAATTAAATATGCTGGGAATATAATAAGCCTGTTCATTAGTCTTAAGTAACTATGTTTTTGTAATTAAATAATACAGGCAAGAAGCTTTTTAATTAATTCTCATGTTCTGATCTAAAATCTAATGTAATCCAAAGATCTGTTTAAATTCATCCAAGATCTAAACATGAGAATTAATCTTTCAAAACATTTATCAAGGTTTTTAAAAAGAACTTGCATAAAATAATTTATTTGACTATTGTTTAGATTTATTTCGTTAGCTTAAAAAAATCTTAAACTTTTAACATGGAACAGTATCTTAAATGAATTTGCAAGAAAATTTTATAATAATATAATTTCAATTCCATAAATTTTTAAAATTATAATTCTAAAATGTTTGATATTAACATGTTTGCTGCAATTTATTTAAGATATATTTTTCAGGAAGATTTTTTTTCTCATAACTATGCATTTAATTCTAACTAAAATTTTGTTTTCTAACTTATTGTTATTGTATACAGTTCCTCATATTTTTTAAGATAAGGTGCATTTGTAATTCATATGCATGTACAATAAATTTATAATGTTCAAAGCTCCTGATGCATAGGTGTATTTATAATGTTTTATTAAAAATCTAACTAAATATATATAACAACATGTATAAAATTAACCAAAATATCATAATATTAAAAGAATATTTATATGTATTCTATATTTGTGTTATATAATTAAATCACAAATTTAAACAACGGTGTAAATGATGAATCAGAGTCTTTGACAAAAATAAATTATTATCAGTATGACAAATATATTATGTCTTTATAAAATTTTAACAATATATTAATTAATTATTTTTGCATATTTAATACAGTGATACCTCAGTTTTTGTCAATAATCCATCCGAAAACAGTCGGCAAAATTCAAAAACGAGGCAATTATTTCCATATGAATCAATGTAAATCTAATCAATTCATTATAGAACTCCAAAATGCATACTAAAAAAACACATTTTATAGAGAATAAATATATTGTTTTAATACTAAAAACAATAAGAAATTAATATAAAGTGAATATAAAAGACTAATGTAAAGAATTAATGAACATTTAACATGGCATTTTTCTTAATGAGATTGGCACACAGTCTGGCTTTTCCCATATGATGGCCTCCAAAAGAGAATCGCCATCTAACTAATCCAAATTAATAATAACTGTTTGACATCTTCAATTGTTTGTGATCGCTGTTTAATTAACACGTTCATGCCTTTTGCTACATTATCTTCTTTTATTGCTTCCTATTTCACCATGAAAGAACTTATTGTGGATGGCGACTTCCTGTACATGCAGCCAATTTCAGCAATCTTAATGCCACTTTCATATTTTTCAATGATTTCCTTCTTCAACTCAATCATGTTCATGGCCTTCTTTTTCAAAGGGCTGCTGGTTCTGAAAACTTTCTTTGGTCCCATAATGGAGTTAAAAGGAAAGGAAAGCAATGGAATTGTTTGGCTAGATGTGCATAATAATGCTCACACAACAAGAAACAATGCCACACTGAGCAGGAAAACATGTTGGTCGCTTTTTATTTTCACAGAATTTGCAGTGAGGTCATATGGCTGGATGAAATCCAATGTTACCAATGAAAACTGAGACAAATTTTTCTGGAAAAAATTGACTGAAACTGACAATAACCAAAGTCAACGAAAACTGAGGTATTACTGTATATTAATGCCTGACATCACTGTTAGTCATATTTTAAATTTGTAAAATCATGGAGATTCAGATGAAATTTTATTATAATCATTGTCATTTATTTGTAAAAAAAGTGTTTATAACTTTTTTGAAACAATTTGTTACACTATTTACAGGATGTTTAGTAAAATTTCTCAAAAGTTCTTTGTTCTAGATGAGTTCCTGTGTCTGTTGGGGTGTTAAATCTGTGGATTTACCAAAAAGTCTGCTTATATGTTGCAAAAATTGAAATCTTGGAAGTTCTCTTTTTCTTTTACCATTGAGTGGCTTGTATAATGCAAGACTAGAAAAATGGGGAGAATGTATATCTTAAATTGTGTTTAAGCATTTCAATTGGGTGCTGTGAATCTGTTTACTCGATGTTTCATTACAGAATGCAAAAAAATTATAAAATAAGATAATTTAAGTCATTAAGATATTAAGTAATGTTTTACAAATGTTAATAGAACATTTGAATTAAGTAATACAAAAGACAACTTGTGAACCCAATGTATTCTTATTTGGCATGTTACACGTGTGAACCAAGTCCATTATAGTAAAGGGTTAAATATTTGAATTCTTGAAATTTAAGCTTTTACAATATTTTAAAAGTTAAATCAATAAATCATATAAAATTCATTTGTCATATGCAGATGACTACACAGATGTTTTAGATGGCCTTTAAATTTTATTTATTTATCAGACTTTTTGAGTTTTAATGATAGATAGGTAATTATTTAAAATAGAAAACATTCATTGAAACAGTCACATTTTTTTATTCACTTTTATTTTTTACGGTACATTCTGTGACGACCCAATCCCCCTTTAGGCTAAAAAAGGAGATCGTTTTGATGGATTTTTGCTTTCAATTTTAATTAATTTAATATGAAAATTATCATTCATCTGAATTTTATAAATAGAGATAATTAATTACTTGATGGAATTTTTTCAAAAGCAATAAAAAACATATAGTTTTGATTTTAATCTTAGAAATAAATGTTTCTCTCTCACAAATGATTTTTGATATAGATATATTGCATATAATTATAGACCATTAATAATTAGTTAAATTAATTTTGTTTTATTTGTTAATAGCCTGTTTATCCTGAACGTGTTGCTGTTGTTGCTTTGGGTTCTTTATTAGAAGTTGCTTTTGAAGGTGGTCCTCGGCTCTGGCCTATGTATAAAAAAGGTTATTATGATAATTGTAAGTTAAGTATTTGAATATTCCTAATTTTCCGTTATTTATTTTACAACTAAATTTTTAAACGTTAAATATTTTATTGATTATTAATATATTTTTATATACTGTATTTTATGGTATATAAGATGGGACTTTTGTTTAAAATAATCACTCAAAAAAAATTTATCTGCATCTTATATGTGAAGTTTCCATTTCCCATTTCCCATAGGCTAATGAATTCCCCAAATGGTCTTCAGTAGGCTATGGGCAACCTCTACCTAACCCAACTTTTAAATAAAAATGTTATTGTTTAATTGAATATATTGTAATTTTTAAAACATTCACAAAAATACTTGAGTAAACACAAAAAGTCTTGAATTTTTTGTCCATGTTAAATCGCAGGAATAAGACAGACTTACTGCAGAGTCAACCATTTATTGTAGGCTCTTGTCTGCCTCAATATATAAAACATGTAAAATAAATTCCTTAAAATAAATATTGACATATTTATAATTATGCCATTGGCCAAATGAAAATTTATTTTACATATTTTATGTATTGAGGCAGACAATAACAAGTTGACTCTGTTGTAAAACTGTTTTATTCTTGAGGCACAACATGGACAAAAGATGAAGATTGTGTTTCTTCAGATATTTTTGTGAGTTTTTTAAAATGCAATTGTGTCCTGGCTTTTTTATTAATATTAATTATAATTATTATTTGTTTTTTGTTATAGCTAAGCTGCTTTTCCATATATCCATGTNTCACTCTGTAGAGACTAAATTGTACATAGAGATTACAGATACATTTTTCACATTATCATGCATTATCAACATTCTACGCTGTGCTGAAGACATTTGTAATGGAGCGTTAGCTCTAATCGCACAGTTACTTGTTTTTTTTTTTTTAGTCATTGGAGTTTTTCATCAAGATATTCAGACTTAAGTAGCTAATATTGAAAGATTAATTGCGGCCACATAAATTCATTAGATGGGCAGGATCCGGCCCGTGGGCCATATGTTAGTCATGCCTGCCCTAGATCATCACTGATGTGCAATTGACTGATTGCCCCTGGATGTCGGCTTATTACAGAAACACAGCTTCCCTATCATCAAATGTCATGGCACGCCACTGAATTCTATAGTTCTTTCCTAATAGCATGAAAAGTTTTAGATAATTTTATTAAAATGCAATTTTTTTAGTTCTTTTAGTTTAAAATTTTGATTATCTTTTATTTTAAGAAATTTAATTATTATTTCATATAATCTTTCCATGTGAGAAGACATTTTTCTTTTATTTTAATTCTGAATTATTATGCATTATTATATTTTTATGATAATATATATTTGATCACAAAAACTGTTATAATATAGTAAACTCAAAGCAATTTAACAGATAAGATCATATTTAATATTACAGTTTTTTAATTTTATAATAACACTAATAGTATATACAAGTCTCCAATTTAATTAATTTCAAAAGTACAGGATGCTGAATTAATTATAACTACAGATTACTTTATGTAGTTAATTTACTACGTAATTTTACAATATTACATGTAATATTACATATTAATTGCATTTTTTTCTTCAATGTAGCACTGCATATTTTGCCAGAAAATAATTGGGCTCTTCATGAAATGAATGTATATATTATCACAGTTAAACTTTTTGATATTTATCATCATCAGATTTCCTTATCAGATGTAAGAAGTTAATAAATATATTCTTTAAAAATATTTATAATGTATGTGTCATAATTTGTAAAAAAATATAATGCATTATTTGCTTTTAATTTTTAGAATGTTTATACTTATGTGCAATTTCCATCTAAAAGTTTTCATGTGAATTATTCATCTCCAAATGGTACATATCATGTGGTTCAAGCTACAGTTGCTGGATCTGGTTTTATTAATGCTTATTTAGTTGGAGTTAAAAATGAAGTAAGTATAAGCAATGAAGATATTTTCATTAAAATAAACCAAAAATTTGTCTAAAATACATACTTCTTGCATTTTGAAAGAAATGTTCTGTTTAAATATAAGAATATAATATTAAGATTTTTATAATTAATGTTTATTATAATATAATTTATTTTTCAGAATGGAGAAAAGGTTAAATTTCAGCCAGAAATACGGACTTCTCAACAATATATTATTTACCAAAGTTTGCAAATTTTTCCGTCTGTGTTACTTTTGCCTTGGGAGTCTTCAATTGAGATTAATCACACAGTTTCTTTTAAAGTAGGAATCTGCATTTTTTTCCTCAATATAAAATTTTTGTTATAATTTCTAATATAACTGATATATCAAAATGTAAAATTTGGTTAAAGTATGTGGAAATCATTACGTAATCACATTACATAATCATTACATATTTTGTTAGTGGTAACTTAATTAATCTGAACAGTAGATAAAATGTTATTTAATAAAATCTGAATTCTGGATAATGTAAGATTATAACTATTTTTTGCTAATTCAGACATAGAAAAAAAATAGGTATTGTTTTTGTAGTTAATATCATTTGCAGTTGTCTCACAGCAGTAGAAATATTTCAAATTATTTTAATTTTTATAGTGAAATAATTTAAATAAGAAAATTCTGCAATCTTTTGTTATTTATCAAGGAAAGTATATTGTAATTTTTAGCAATTTTCATATATTAATTTCTTAACACTAAATTACAGTACAAAGAATAAACAAATAATAAAAATGATAAACTAATTCCATAGTTAAACTAGTTTTACTATGAATATTAGAATGTCCCTAACATTTCAAAAACATTAATATTAAACATTTTATCTTCAGAAGCATCTGAGTTTTCATATTTATAATTGTGATGTTTTTTGAAAATGAAATGTTAAAAATTTAATAGATAATTCAATCGATACAGTCAACAAAATAAAAAAAATCTTATACAAAAATTTATGGAAAAATAATACAAATATTTTTATTTTATTATTTTAAGATTTTTCAGGTACAAGTTCTAATATATCACCACTGATATAGAATTTACTTCAATTTATTCCTAAAGAAATAGTATTCAAAACAATGTTAATAAATGGATAACCATTTTATTCTTTTGAATTTTTTAAAAATTGTTTTATTTAAAATAATTGTATTATTTTTTTCTTTATAGGTTTTAGGAGGTAGTGGGTTTTATAAATGGTCTTCCACAGATACTGATATTGGAAGCATTAGCTATTCATCTGGTAAAAAAAGTAATATTGCTACTGTAGTCATAAGAAAGATAGGAGAAATTAATATTACTGTGGCTGATGCACAAAATGAATTTCTCCACAATATGGCTAAAGTAAGTGAAGTTTTATATAAACATTTTTCTAATTTAATTTGTATGATTTAACAACTTTCAAAGATCACTTTTATGAAATTTATTGATTATTTTAAAGATGGTTAATTTAATAATGAGTTATATAAAAACAGCTTCATATAAATCTCAGTATTTGATTGTTTTTAATGATTTTGTTTAAATACTATTTTATCAGCTAATTAACTTAATTATTTGATTGGACATGGTGGTAATCATCATTGCTGCTGTTTATGAATGAAATCCATGAAATGCTACTCTAAAGGCCTCTTCCTGCTTCTATTTTTTGAGGATTTAGTTTAATTACTTAATTATTTTAGATTTTATCATTATGACATCTTTAATCTTTTAATTATGAAAACATGAAATACAATATGGAATGAATAATAACTTAAACACAAGATAAAAATATCAGGTAATCATAATAATACATATTGGTATCATTGATTTTTCAAATATTTTATATTAGATATCTGTTCAACCCATTGCTGATCTTGAAATTATGCCAACAATATTGGAAACACAAGTAAATAATGATGTGATTGTACCAGTTTCTTTGTATGGCTATGAAGATGAAGGTGAGATCTTTTAAAAATATTTTAGCTGAGCAGTTTAAGAAATAATTATATCATAATGTGAACAAATTATAACTAACATAATGTGAACAAAAAATAACTAAACATTTAAAATTATAATTTATTTCTCCAGTTCAATCTTAAATCTACAGATTTTGTTAAAGCATGTATTTATTTTAACAAAATTTAATATAAATTTGTTTTCTTTACTTTATTTTTAATTAAAATGATTTTAAATTGCAGTTTAATTGGAGTTGAAATGTAGTGTGATTAATCAGTTTTTAAAAAAATTTCATTTAAATAGCCAAAACAAAATTTAAAGTATTTGATGAATGTTCAAAAATACCACTAAATGTTGAAGTTGTAGATAAAGCAAGATTCACTTATGTGAAAGGTGAGTGAATGTATGTAATTTAATTATAATATATATAGTCATCTTATAGTAATTTTAATTTATTTTTCAAACTTTTTTAAAAATGAAAATATTTTAAATTGAAACAATAAAAATTAATATGCAAAATCATATTTTATTATATATATATATATATACACACAGAGAAATGTTTGTAATGCCCTTGGATCTAATAAACTACTGTACAGATCTTTATGATTCACACATTGTTACAAACCATATGATTTAGGTTTCCTGCCTCAATACTTACTTTTATCAATTCTTTCTAAAAAAAAATAACATTCACTTCTCTTGCTCTCCACTAGAGAAAACACCATAAACTTTAATTACTCTTTGTCTTTTCACAGCAATATATTGTTAGAAACTTTACAATTTACTTTTCATGCCAATTTGAATGATGTTTTTATTAATTAATTCATAGCTATAATAAAAATATCATTATAAATCTTTTATATTTAATTTTATCAAGTTCTGGAAATGATTTTACAGCATTGACACTTTTTACATTGAATGGTTAATTTGGAAACATATGTGTGTTCTTCAACATAAAATCATTCATTTTTTTTTTATCTAACAACAAAAATTAGTGAGTATTTTTAAATTAAATATCAATCCCATTATGACAGCATTGCCTGGGAGCAATCATTGACTATTGACACTGAACAAAAAAAAATAAAATAATAAAACAACATAAAGCAAAGGGATAAAACCACCAAACATTGATAGTTAGTCATAAGTTTACACCTGAACAACAGGTTGGCCACATGAACTTTTCTGGGTTTTCTTCACGTGTCTAACATCTAAATAGCAGCCAGTTCTAGAAAGTCATATCATGAGGCACTCCCCTGGCAGATTAGGAAATATAAACATTTATATCCAAACATACAAAACTTTTATTCTTTTATATATATTGTACAGTACCTTGATATACATATGAAAGAATAGGAAATCAGAATCATAAGAAATATTTAACTTGATGCTTAATTAGCTTGTTGATTAACCAGCTAAATATTTCTTCTGGCCAGTTAAAAATATTTTTTATTTTATTCTATTTATTATCATTATTATTTTTTTAAAATAACGACTACAGATTAGTATTTTATTGAATTCTATAGTACAGGTATACCTCGCTTTACGTCGGTAATTGGTTCCAGCAGAACGACTTAAGTCGAAAAACGACGTAAGTCGAATTTACTTGTCTCCGAATCTAATTGCCACTAGGCTAAACCATAAATTACCAATTCCCGTTCTGTATTTTATTTATTAATGCATTTTTAATAATATATGGTTAATAAGGATCTATTTTAAGCTTACAAACAAATAAATTTTAGTTTTTAATATAGTACAGAAAAAAGTAATTTAAATTTACGAATGCATGTACTGTACTGTAAATACAGTATATACTTGTAAATGTATATATTATAATATGATTTTATGTGCTTTAAACATTTTTCTAGTGATATTACGACTTCAATATTTGTGGCGGACAGACGTAAAGTCGAATAAAATGACTTAAACTTGATTTTTATTTTTCCATATACTTTTNCTTAATGAGATTGGCACACAGTCTGGCTTTTCCCATATGATGGCCTCCAAAAGAGAATCGCCATCTAACTAATCCAAATTAATAATAACTGTTTGACATCTTCAATTGTTTGTGATCGCTGTTTAATTAACACGTTCATGCCTTTTGCTACATTATCTTCTTTTATTGCTTCCTTTTTCACCATGAAAGAACTTATTGTGGATGGCGACTTCCTGTACATGCAGCCAATTTCAGCAATCTTAATGCCACTTTCATATTTTTCAATGATTTCTTTCTTCAACTCAATCATGTTCATGGCCTTCTTTTTCAAAGGGCTGCTGGTTCTGAAAACTTTCTTTGGTCCCATAATGGAGTTAAAAGGAAAGGAAAGCAATGGAATTGTTTGGCTAGATGTGCATAATAATGCTCACACAACAAGAAACAATGCCACACTGAGCAGGAAAACATGTTGGTCGCTTTTTATTTTCACAGAATTTGCAGTGAGGTCATATGGCTGGATGAAATCCAATGTTACCAATGAAAACTGAGACAAATTTTTCTGGAAAAAATTGACTGAAACTGACAATAACCAAAGTCAACGAAAACTGAAGTATTACTGTATATTAATGCCTGACATCACTGTTAGTCATATTTTAAATTTGTAAAATCATGGAGATTCAGATGAAATTTTATTATAATCATTGTCATTTATTTGTAAAAAAAGTGTTTATAACTTTTTTGAAACAATTTGTTACACTATTTACAGGATGTTTAGTAAAATTTCTCAAAAGTTCTTTGTTCTAGATGAGTTCCTGTGTCTGTTGGGGTGTTAAATCTGTGGATTTACCAAAAAGTCTGCTTATATGTTGCAAAAATTGAAATCTTGGAAGTTCTCTTTTTCTTTTACCATTGAGTGGCTTGTATAATGCAAGACTAGAAAAATGGGGAGAATGTATATCTTAAATTGTGTTTAAGCATTTCAATTGGGTGCTGTGAATCTGTTTACTCGATGTTTCATTACAGAATGCAAAAAAATTATAAAATAAGATAATTTAAGTCATTAAGATATTAAGTAATGTTTTACAAATGTTAATAGAACATTTGAATTAAGTAATACAAAAGACAACTTGTGAACCCAATGTATTCTTATTTGGCATGTTACACGTGTGAACCAAGTCCATTATAGTAAAGGGTTAAATATTTGAATTCTTGAAATTTAAGCTTTTACAATATTTTAAAAGTTAAATCAATAAATCATATAAAATTCATTTGTCATATGCAGATGACTACACAGATGTTTTAGATGGCCTTTAAATTTTATTTATTTATCAGACTTTTTGAGTTTTAATGATAGATAGGTAATTATTTAAAATAGAAAACATTCATTGAAACAGTCACATTTTTTTATTCACTTTTATTTTTTACGGTACATTCTGTGACGACCCAATCCCCCTTTAGGCTAAAAAAGGAGATCGTTTTGATGGATTTTTGCTTTCAATTTTAATTAATTTAATATGAAAATTATCATTCATCTGAATTTTATAAATAGAGATAATTAATTACTTGATGGAATTTTTTCAAAAGCAATAAAAAACATATAGTTTTGATTTTAATCTTAGAAATAAATGTTTCTCTCTCACAAATGATTTTTGATATAGATATATTGCATATAATTATAGACCATTAATAATTAGTTAAATTAATTTTGTTTTATTTGTTAATAGCCTGTTTATCCTGAACGTGTTGCTGTTGTTGCTTTGGGTTCTTTATTAGAAGTTGCTTTTGAAGGTGGTCCTCGGCTCTGGCCTATGTATAAAAAAGGTTATTATGATAATTGTAAGTTAAGTATTTGAATATTCCTAATTTTCCGTTATTTATTTTACAACTAAATTTTTAAACGTTAAATATTTTATTGATTATTAATATATTTTTATATACTGTATTTTATGGTATATAAGATGGGACTTTTGTTTAAAATAATCACTCAAAAAAAATTTATCTGCATCTTATATGTGAAGTTTCCATTTCCCATTTCCCATAGGCTAATGAATTCCCCAAATGGTCTTCAGTAGGCTATGGGCAACCTCTACCTAACCCAACTTTTAAATAAAAATGTTATTGTTTAATTGAATATATTGTAATTTTTAAAACATTCACAAAAATACTTGAGTAAACACAAAAAGTCTTGAATTTTTTGTCCATGTTAAATCGCAGGAATAAGACAGACTTACTGCAGAGTCAACCATTTATTGTAGGCTCTTGTCTGCCTCAATATATAAAACATGTAAAATAAATTCCTTAAAATAAATATTGACATATTTATAATTATGCCATTGGCCAAATGAAAATTTATTTTACATATTTTATGTATTGAGGCAGACAATAACAAGTTGACTCTGTTGTAAAACTGTTTTATTCTTGAGGCACAACATGGACAAAAGATGAAGATTGTGTTTCTTCAGATATTTTTGTGAGTTTTTTAAAATGCAATTGTGTCCTGGCTTTTTTATTAATATTAATTATAATTATTATTTGTTTTTTGTTATAGCTAAGCTGCTTTTCCATATATCCATGTAGAATATTTTAATGGTAAATGACTTTTTCCATGATAAATAAAAGCATGCATTCTAATTTTACTTTTTAAAACCAGAATACAGTTTAAAAAATTGGTCCCAAGTGTCAAAAATGTTGGGATGCCTTAAATATATATTAAATACTTTTTACCTAAATATTTAGTGCTGAAATGGAAGTGCATTTTATATACCATAAAATATAGTGATTTTTCTTTACATATAAAATATATTTTAAATAAAAATGTTTATTTGACAGAAAAATGAATAATATTAATGAAAAAATATAAGAAATCAAATAAAGTCAATATTTTAATTTTAATTATTAAGTATTTATTGTAAGATCTTGTGGAGTTTTTATTTTTTATTTTTTCAATGAATTTCAAACATGAGAGTGAAGTATTAAGAATAAAAATTATAAAGTAGTTTTTGCTTCATTGATAAAATTCATTCATACTGTACAAATAAAAAACAGAAGATAATACATAAATGCCAGTTAAATTATATTTTCATATCTTGTATTTAAATTTATGACATAAATTTATAATGTAAATTTATTTAAATTTTTTACATAACTTATAGTGATCTCTAAAAAAGACAGATTTGTTAGTATTCAAGCTATTCAAGATCTTTATCGTTACAACAGTAAGTAAGATAATAATTGAATGCATTAATTTTTATCATTAATTAATTGTAATTATTTACACTTTAAATAAATTTTTCTGTGTCATCACTTTAAGAAGAACTGTTCAGAGTTGCCTTTGAAATAAAATGAAACTAGATATTTTAGTTAAATTTTAAATGGTTTTTGGAAAATTGTTTAAAAATATAGTATTTAATTTTATATTTTACTTTTGATTCTGATGAAACCGTGTTGTGTTGATTTTACTTTGCTTCTTTACAGACACACTAAAGTGACATTATACAACACTTGGCAGATTATTCACCATTTTATTCAGTTGGAACGCTGTTTACAATTCGCGTTTCAGGCATTAGCCCCTCTTCAGCTAACTAAACATTAAAATAAAACATGAGAATTTGTACATAAATACGTGAGTAAAACATCTCGTAGATAAAACATTTTTAAAAAAACCTTTTAAAAACGTACCTCAAAAGCACATATCATGAGCGTACAGATGTCATACAGGATGGACAGTTTCATATACTATATATCAAGTGGACGATGAACAGATTCGAAGCTAATTGCTTGATGACAATTCTTCTTTAAGGCTTTCGAATATGACGTTCTTTAAGTTTATACAAATAATTCAGATAAATAAATTGAAATTTATAACATATTTTAACAATATTTGTTTTACCTGTAATCTATATTCTTGTATTATACCAAAATTCTCACAATAACTATTGACACCTTTTTTTCCTGACGAGTTTCACACAAAGTCATTCCAGCGACACTATTTGGTCTGCTAATTTACATGTATATCAGTGAACTTATTAAAAGCTATTACATTAAATTGTACAAACCAACTATTAGTATATGTTTTACCTGTAGTTTATATATAGACATCAAATTCACATGTTATCAGTTTTAGCTTTTCGTAAACAAATCTCGCATACAGTTTTTACAACGACACTATTTGCAGCGGCGGCCTTATCCATTGCGAGGCTCTGGGTGGCAGATCTTTGGGAGGCCCTTGTCCTTTGTGCAAAGTATGTGAATTGAAATAGTAGGCACTTATTAATATTAATATATACTGTACTATAAATTAAATTTATTTTATTGTTATAACTAATAGCCTAGGATAAAATAAAAAGTTTTAAATATCAACTTTTTTCTACTTGGTTGTTGCGCGAGGCCCCTCTAAGAGCGAGGCCCCGGGCGATTGCCCTGCTCGCCACCCCCTAAGGCCGCCACTGACTATTTGGTTTACTAATTTACATATATAAGTGAGCTGACTTTTGAAACAATTTCAGTATACAATGGAAAGTTGTGTACAAACAGGAATTATTATATTAAACTTAACTTATATTATTACTTTTTACAATTATTTATTTATACATGAACTTTAAACTTTGGTGATCATCGTCTTAATTATTGGATTTGACTTTAACGGACCTAATGATTGGAAAGTCATAGATATAGTGCCAGGTTTAGATTGTATGTGTAATGAGTTAACAGAGGTAGATTCTAAAATTCTAAAAATTAACTTAAGTAACATAATTAAAAAATATACTATAAAAGAAAAAGGAAAAATGAAGATAAAAGATAAAAATTATTATAAATATAAAAACGATATAGAAAAACTGTATACATTTCGAAATGATAATAAGATAAATATTATAAGCGCAGATAAATCTAAACAAGTTATTGTTGTCACTCAAGATTGGATAAAGTTAAAAAAACTAGAAATAATAAAAGCGAATAAATTTAGAGAACTACCAATTAACCCCAAAGATATTATATACGAAGAATTAAAAAATAGAATTACAAAATTACAAAACTTAAAAAAATTACCAAAAATGAAAAAGATTTTATCCTGTATGAAAATAATGACAGAACACCAAGACTAAATATACAATTTAAGACCCATAAGAAAGATGAATATTATTTTACTATAGAATATTTCTTATATATTTATTAACAATCCAAAATGAATTATACTTATTGAGTTTTTATTATTATTCAGTTATAAAATGTCTTACATTCTTTTTATCAAAAAATCTTATTGCTTTTGAATGCACAGTTTTATGTAGTATGTAGATATAAAATTAGACATATTTTTATGAATTTAAATGTCTATTAAGAAATTTAATTATCTTTTTTAAACTAACATACAATAAAGATATAACATATTGTATATTTTTTAATCATTTGGATATAATGAATCTAAGGTTTTATTATTTTAATTTTTAGAAGATCTTCATGTTTATCAAGTTACTTGTAAAAATATTGATCAAGCTGTGAGTAATATTATATTTTAAAATTATTATAAATTATCCAATTTTCAAAGATAATACAATATAGAATCAAAAATTTTCTAACATTACTGGAATTTTAAATATGTAAGTAATAGTAAATTCTAAAATATACATTTATTTTTATTTTTATCATAATTTAATTTGTAATGTGGAATGCCATTGTATGGGGAGTTTGGACTAATAGGAAAAATTGTTGCAAAGACATAATCATGAACCTGAAAGACTTTTTTTCCTTTGTATGCTGTATTTTTTAAGTGTATAAAGTATGATATAAATCATTATATGCATTGTACAGTAGAAGAGTTAATAATTTGACAGTTCTGTGAAAAACAATCAAAAAATTTTCTTATTTTCTGAGAATGCAGCTTTATGCAGTATACAAATATAAAATTAGCACATATTTTAATAAATTTGTATCATTCATACTTTAGTTTAAAAAAATTCATAACACATAATTGCTTAATAAATGAAATAACCAACACCAGAAAAAACTATCACAAATGATAAATTTACACTTTAAATAATAGGGAAAAAACTAATATAAACTTACAGCTTAACAATTATGGAACATAATACTCTTTGCTACTTCTATTGAGGTGTAAGTGAGACAAGGATTCCTAGCAAACTGAATAGTATCCTTGTTCTTGACCATTTTTTCCTAAGTCTTCCTATCAATTTGTTTGCTTCTGGGATAAAGTGATTTCTTCCCTTATGAAATGGGGTTAGCTTTAAGAAATAAGGTTAACACCAGCATTTTGTTATGTTATATAATGTAAAATATAAACTATAAAAAGGCTAGAATTGCCACATAAGTTACCAGTAGAAATAAATGCTTGTGTTTTAGGATGCTGTGGTACTCTGTTCCTCTTTGCATCCTACTGTAAATTTAGTTTTTCAAAATGAATATTTTCAAATAATGTTATAATACTGAAATTCAGTATTTAGCAGCATTTATTTAAAATTTATTTTAATTCTATAAGAAATATTCCTGTTGTTGGAATCATGATCCTTGTGTCTTTGTTTTATGTAGAATAATATAATTTTTTAAATATTTGATATTGCAATTATATAAGATTNTACTAGTGACATAACACTCGTAAAAAGGCTTTTCGTGGATTGTTATTATTCAACGCAGTGTTAAATTGTTGGAAGTCGTTTATCTTAGAGATTGAATAATATTTACAGAATGAAGGAATGAGATATGGAAGTATGTCATTGTTTCAATTGAGCATTGTCATTGATGTTGTTTGCAATATTTTCAGATTTCATATTTACAAAGTTCAGAATAGAATATTTAGTATAATAATAGTAATAATAACAACTCTCCTGTGGTCACCACCTGGTCGTGGTGGGAGAGCCTAGTAATTTTACTGAAACGTAGGGCAATGCAGGCTGGAGCACAAGCTCTTGGTAGGGACACTCATGCCAGTAAGGTCTATGGGGAGAAATGAAGCTAAGAGTTACCACACCCACATTCTGTGGAGATATTTATCATGGTAGTAACCAGATCAAAGTGTGATACCGGCTCGGACATTGCCCGGGTTAACAAGGTCCGCATTCGTGGGTTAGGCAGAGGCTCACATTCAAAAAATAGGCCGCAGTCTCCTTGGTTACCGGTGGTGAAAGCAGTGCCAGCCCAAGCATGGCTACTGCAATGCCCTCAACAAATGTGAGGAATCAACCTAGCCTTGGTGTTTCTGTGGCAATGCATCCACAGACCACAAAGGCTGGAAAACCACGCCAATGGATAAAATGGACAACAGAAATGAACGAGTTTATCATCCGTACTTACTACACAATCACAAAACTCGTAACAAACATGACAACATACAGACAACAACTACACCATAGATTCACACAACAATATTTTCACCTCACTGTCATCGAACAAAGGGTTGTTGATCAAAAAAGAACAATTATACACAACAACCTTATCCCACAAACAACACTTGAACTTATCAAACAACAGGTTGATGATCAAATACATCAACAGACAGAAAGATGTAACATTAATGAAGATCACGTAACCTGTCAGGATAATCCAGCAACAAGCATTGATAATAGCACAAATACAACAACTACCACTAATGATACTACAGGCACTTCCTTATCTATCACTGATAACATAGACATAGAATTAGTTAATACGCTCTCACTTATATTTCAGGAAACACTCACTAAATATACTGGTACAGATCCCACACAAAGACCATGAATACCCAACAGTCAACACATCAAAGGAAGTAGGAAAAACATTAAATTATGTAAACACTCACTTACTACAACACTACATCCATTTAATTTCTACACTCTCAGACATTCATACATTAGTTTATGCTGGGGCAGTCACAGTAGTGATACACCATGGACTGAAAATACAATTGCGGACAGACAGACACAAAACACAATTCTATCACAAGCCTGCCTGGCAGAGAAGAATAGAAACACAAATAAATGACATTAGACAGCAATTAGGCAGGCTGATACAATACACTAAAAACAACATAACACCCAAATTAAAGAAACAACTCAAAAACATTTTCAGGAAAATCAAAACACACACAAAACATGAACATCACAACACACACATTACAGAATACATCGATACACTAAAACAAAAACTCTCAGCCAAAGCATGTAGACTCAAACGATACAAAACATGTACACTACGAAAACAACAAAATAAATTATTCACAAACAATGAAAAACTTTTCTACGGACAAATCAATACCAAAACAAACACTGATACACAGCACAGTGGCACACCAACAGAAGAACAACTCACAACTTATTGGTCTTCTCTTTGGTCCAGTGCTGTTACACTCAATGCTGATGCAGGCTGGATTGAGGAGGAGAACAGAAACTTGCACAACATACCAACTATTCCCTGTGCTGAAATAAATGTACAAGACATCCGCTACGCCGTTAACAGAACATACAACTGGAAGACACCTGGTAAAGACAACATTCACAATTTCTGGTACAAAAAGTTTACATCACTGCGCCAGGAACTAGCTAAACATCTAACACACATCATCATCAATCTACAACATATGATAAAATTTCTTACTCAGGGCAACACCTACAGGAGACCTAAAAACATCATCATCACAGACCCCACACAATACAGACCAATTACATGTCTTCCAACACTCTACAAATTATTGACATCCTGTATCACAAACAAAATATACAAACATGTTGAAGAACACGACATTATTACGGAACAACAAAAAGGTTGCTGTAGAAATCACAGGGGATGTAAAGAACAGTTACTCATAGATTCAGTCATTCTACGGCAAGCACACAAACAACACAGAAACATATACATGGCATATATGGACTACAGAAAAGCATTCGACAGTGTTC